AAACTCTTGGGCTTAATTGATTCTCTTGCCTCAGCCTCCCAAGTAGTTGGGACTACAGGCAACCCCCCCATAGTGCCTGGCTATTTTGTTGTTGTTGCAGTTGTCATCATTGTTGTTTAGCTGGCCAGGTTTGAACCTGCCAGCCTGGGTTTATGTGGTCAGCGCTATAAACACTGTGCTACAGGTGCCAAGCCAGCCAATGACCCATTTCTTTAACTGAAGATAAAGGAAACTGGCTGGGCATGGTAGCTTATGCCTGTAATCCTAGCACTCTGGAGGCTGAGGCAGGAGGATCCCTTGAGATCATAAGTACAAGACCAGCCTGAGCAAGAGTAAGACCCTGTCTATACTAAAAATAGAAAAATTGGGTGAATGCCTATAGTCCTAACTACTTAGGAGGCTGAGGCAGGAGGATTGCTTGAACTCAGGTGTTAAAGGTTGCTATAAGCTAGGCTGAAGTCAGGGGAACTTCAGTAACCTGGGCAACAGAGTGAAACTCTGTCTCCAAAAACCAGAAGATACGCTGTGCGCTGTGGCTCATGCCTATAATCCTAGCGCCACAACACTATACTCAGGGCAACAGCTTGAGATTGTCTAAAAAACAAAATAAAATAAAAACAATACAAAATAAAGGAAATATTGAAAGGAAGACATTTTGTTAACATTCAGGACATCAATGAAAATATGGTGACAACTTTGATGGCCATTCCAGAGAAATATTTCCAAAATTTCTTTGAAGGTTGGCACTGGTCGGTGCATAGTTTCCCAAGGAGAATACTTCAAAGGTAACTGTAGTGATATTCAGCAATGAGGTATGTAGTGCTTTTTCTAGGATGAGTTCACCAACTTAATTGTCAGACCTGATGTATATATACATACATGCAAAGCAGGTACATGGTCAGCATTTTTATCTTTGATAAAATTGGGGCCCAAAGAAATTAAGTGACTTGACCAAAACAACAGTTCATTGGTGGTAAAACTCTATCTTTTTTTTTTTTTTTTTTTTTTTT